CCCCCACCCATCTGCTCTCCCCCACCCATCTGTTCTCCCCCACCCATCTGCTCTCCCCCACCCATCTGCTCTCCCCCACCCATCTGTTCTCCCTCATCTCCCTGTTCTCCCTCATCCATCTGCTCTCCCCCACCCATCTGCTCTCCCCCACCCATCTGTTCTCCCTCATCTCCCTGTTCTCCCTCATCCATCTGCTCTCCCTCACCCATCTGCTCTCCCCCACCCATCTGTTCTCCCTCACCCATCTGTTCTCCCTCATCCTGGTCTTTTTCTGTCTCTGTGTCTTCCCTGAACTCTTCCTCATCTCCTGTCCTGGTAGATGTTGATGGTATAGAGCTTCCCTGCTGTGACTGGCTACAGTATAATAATAATAACCATTATGACAATAATAATAATAATAATAGCTTTAACAAATATTCCAAATTAGTTTAAATAATGGGCTATTAGGGCAACATGACTGGAAGTCTTGTCACGTGGATATGACTTATGGTAGCCTACAAAATAATAGCTATTTTAATACCTGCTTCACAAACCACTTAAAAATAAAATGTGAACAGCTTTTAAGATTTTTCAATATGATTAACCCTCCTTTCTTGGCATTGTGCTGCAATTACTAAATCAATATACAATTAAGACAATAAAGAGACCAAAATGTGTTATTTATGTTGCCTAACAAAACCTATACAACAGAAAACGTTTCTGACTTTAATCTCAGAATTCTGACTTTTTTATTGTCAGAATTCAGTCAGAATTCTGAAATTTAATTCAGAATACTGAGCAATAAGTCAGAATTCTGAGATCAAAGTCAGAATTATGAGAAAAAAGTCAGAATACTGAGATTAAAGTCAGAATTATGAGAAAAAAGTCAGAATTCTGAGATTTAATTCAGAATACTGAGCAAAAAGTCAGAATTATGAGATTAAAGTCAGCATTCTGACTTTTTTCCCATACTAAACTGAAATAAAATTTAAAAATCAGTTAACTTATTTTTTTTTTCAGTGGCCCTAATCCTCTTCCGTAGATTTGCAATTGCAAACTCTACCGAAATTATTTGTCGCCTATGTGGTCGTCCTCACGTTATCTGTCATTGACTTGGGCTACAGTGTAAAACTTTCAGAGTTAGAATCAGGTTTATTGCCATTGTTAGTGAAGGAGTTCACAAACTAGGGATTTTTTTGTGGTACAATCGTGCAACATGAAACATATAATATGGAATAGGTAAATAAAATTATAAAAATATCTAAAAACTGTGGGTATACGTCATGCAATAAAATAGACTAATATATACACTTAAGATAAAAATATGGATATAAAATATAAAAAGTAAAATAGCATCTTACAAGGAGACAACTAGTTTATCAGGTGACCAGTCATTAAAATGCTTGTTTGATGCTGCTGAATGAGACATTTTAATGCACAACAAAATGATTCTGCTTGATCTGTATATTACATGGCTAATGGGGCACGGGAGAAGCAGCCTGTCAGCGACCGTTCCTGCTATCTGAAGACGCTTACTGAACTGCTATGATGCCGCATCTGGCATGCCCTGCGGGCGACCGCGAGGTCACGTGACAAAGGGAGAGAGAGAGAGAGAGAGAGACAGAGAGACCGACCTCAGTAAAATCTTAATAATATTAATAATAATAATAAGAAAAATTAGTTTCAAAAGGGCATTTTCTTTGATAAAGGGCAAACTTCCTAGTGCTTTAGCACCACCTAGTGTCTATGTGTGCACGCCCCTGCTTCTAAACTTAATATTTTAGTTTAAGAACAGCAGTTTAAAGAGTAATGCTCTTAAGTGTACATTTTAATTTAAACAATCTCTCTGCACCATGATGGATTTCACAATGTTTTCATTCCACAGTGATAACTGGTAGCTCTCTAAGGTCATTTCATAATTTCCTTCTCCTTTTGACGTTTATGCTCCAGACAAGTAAAAAACCAAAACCTGATTTTATATGTTTATCAGATTTCTTGCACAGCTTTAAGCACTTAGCCACCAAATTCTTTTGTTTCCTCCTCTGCGTTGTTGGTCAAACTTAGTCAATGTGGACCCTCCATGATGAAATCTATCTCACCCATTAATTCTGTTCATGCTGATCTGCAACCAGTTGTTTTGTTAAGCTTATAATAAGTATCATTACAGCCAGAGAGGACAGCAATTGAGCATGAACCAGCAATCAAGTGTAGCTTTTTAGAGCCTTATCAGGGAGGGAAACATTACACAGGCGTCCTGACTGGGAGCATTTGGAAGGCATAACACCAGAATTTAAGACAAATTGGTTTAATTTAGTCTCATTTAGTTCCCAGATCTCAGTCGCAAGAAGAGAAACCTGTTTTCATGAATAAAAAAAAACACAGTAAATATGACCCTACAAAGTACATTGCTCATAAAATAAATGGACACTTAAATTACACATCTTAGATCTCAATGGATGAAAGATTCTCATAGAATATTTTATTCTGCAAAACGAATCTGCTGATTACAAAATTGATCAATGGAAATATTTTTTTTTAACCAATAAAGGCCTGGATTCGTAGTTGCACACAAAAATAAAGCTGAAAAAAAAAACAAAAATCTAATCTGATCAAACTGTGCGGCCCTCCAAAGAAATGCTACCCCACACTATTACTGACCCACTTCCAACCCGCTCATGCTGAAGGATGTTGCTAGCAGAGAACACTCCACAGTGTCTCCTGACTCTTTCACATGTGCTCAGTGTAAACCTGCTTTCATTTGTGAAGAGCATGGGGCACCAGTTCCGAATTTGACATTCTTGATGTTCTCTGGCCAATGCCAAGCTTCCTGCACAATGTTTTGCTGTGAGCTAAACCCCCATATGTGGATGTCAGGTCCTCATACCATCCTCATGGAGTCGTTTTCTGACTGTTGAATATTTGTGGCCTGCTGGAGGTCATTTTGCAGGGCTCTAGCAGTTCTCCTGTTCCTCCTTGCGCAAAGTCAGAGGTAGCTGTCCTACTGCTGGGTTGTTGCCCTGCTACACCTCCTCCACATCTCCTGGTGTACTGGCCTGTGGCTTTGTAGTGCTTCCAGCCTCTTGACACTACGCTATAGCAAATTCATTTTCTCAAGCCTCTTGACACCCTCTTGCCACAGCTTACATTGATGTGTCATCATGGATGAGCTACACTACCTGAGCCACATGTTTTGGTTGAAGAGTCTGTCTCACGCTAACATGACTGTGAAAGCATCACCAACATTCAAAAGTGACCAAACCCTCAGCCAGAAAGCACAGTTACTGAGAAGTGGTCTGTGGTGGACCCAGCAGTAAGGAAAGTCAGGTACAGCTGTATTATTTTATTAAACCCAAAAAAGATTAAATGTTGCAAGTAAAAAATGGATCCAAAAATGAGGTCAAAGATACAAAAACTACTCAAAATAACCAGTAACAGAACTAACTCAAATGAACTGACCTGCCTTATTGAAACAAAGAGAAACTTAAATAGTGGCTGATCAGCTCACAAAAGAAACACATGGGGCAAAACCTACACAAACCTAACTAAACCAAATGGAGCAAAACCTAATTTCCCCCCATAGCACTGATGTGGTATAGTCCAAATTAGATCAGCCCCTCAGAGAAGTAGAAACTTAACAGAATCCTAACAGAACAGGGCAACCCAAATGTGCACACCATTTTTTCCTCTCCACTGTCGCTACAAGCATGCTTAATGTGAGGGATTGCATTCGAGTCAATGAGTCGATGCAATCAACTGGTTTTCCTTAGATAGAAAACCTTTAATCAGTTTGACTGTATGATCTGGTTGAACTGTAAAGTGCCTTGAGATGACATGTGTTGTGAATTGGCGCTATATAAATGAACCGATTTGAATAGAAATTTTGAAATACAGTGCAATAGTGATAAATAAATTCCAAGTAATGAAATGAGAACCACACCTTTAGTGAGTGTGTCTTGCTAATTGGCATTAATTTCTACCTGTTGTGTATTTCATCTGTAAATCCGTCATTAGTGTCACTTCCTAAGTGGACGTTTTGATGCCCCTCCAGAATTTTCTCGGCCTGTGTGGACTAATTATTTGACCTGTCCTAAAAATGGCTTTAACTTCCTTTTCTGGCATCACATGATCTTACTGTTAAGCTGCTTTCTTTTATTTAAACAAATCTTTTTTTTTTCTTAAAATCTTCTCTTTTTCCTGGACATTATAACATGGTGACCAACCCTATTTATAAGACATATACCTCTATATGTTGATTATTAAATAAAAGGCACTTTACCCAGGACATTGTAGACATCAAAAGAGAGCATGAAGGATGTACTTATTTTTGGCACAGCCAGAAACGTATCGCCCTGTTGAGGAGGGATGTTTATAGTCGAATGCAGTTTGATACTATAGATGAGGAATTTACTTCCTCATCTTGTCAGTTCAACTCAGGACTAACTTGTTGTCACCCTGGTTCATATCATAACCAAACACTTAGATATAATATGCAAAAGTACTGTTTCAGTATTTCTTACTTGCATTTGATGCAAGTGGAAATTTTGAAAGCAGAACGGATCCAAAAGGGTTTAATCCAACCTTAGGAGATGTGTGTTTGGATTATTGCAAACTGAGATCCTTCCTGCCTACAACAATTAGCATCTGCAAAAACTCCCTGAAATAAAAGAAAACCTATAACCTTTTTAACAGCATTTCATTTTACTTTCAAATCTACACAACTTTGGATATGAGTATAAATAATTAAATCAAATCCATGCAGATTGAAAAACTCTGAAACCATTTTACTATCTTAACTGAAACTCAGGTCTGTGTGGTTTTAAGGAAGTCACTAAATGAACAGATTAAAAAAAGGTCTGAATGAGTAAATAATTAAATTTTTTTTGCATTGGTGCTGTTCCAAACATGGTCTTAGTTGATCCAAATTCATATTGATAAATTCAAAGAAAACAGACTACACAGGCATAAGGAATGTAATATTGTGTAACCAATGATCTTAATCTTTCTATTCCTGCCTCCATCAGGGTGGTCTTTCAGTGGACTGCCTTTCTGACCTCGTAGAGAGCCAGTCTCGCCTGTTGGAGGCGCTGCAGCTCTCACACCCCGCGGAACTGGAGTTAAAGAAATCAGCTTCTGAAGGGAGAACCCAGACCAAGCTGAGCCTCAACCCCATCTACAGACAGGTGCCTCGAGTGGTGGAGAGGTGCTGCAGCCATATTGAGAACTATGGTGAGACTTGATGACTCTCTGGTCATCCAGCAGTCCCTTCAGCACAAACCCCAAAACAGTAAATCTTCACAAATCTTGTCACCAGGTCTCCAGACTGTTGGCATCTTCCGAGTTGGGAGCTCTAAGAAAAGAGTTAGACAGGTGAATATATTTCCTTTCTCTTTTAAAGCATACATTATAAGATTTCATATATTGTTCTGCAAAGACATCAATTCAAAACCATAAATAAAGAATAATACAAAGAAACAATATCAATTGTGTAAGATGCAAATTGTTTTAGTCTTATAAATAAAAACTGTGATGCACTAGTCTTAAAAATATAGTGGACCACAAAGGACCACAGGTAGGATACAAACCCAGGTCACCATGTAGAGGACTAAGGCCTCCATACATGGGTCATGCACATTAATCACTGCTCCACCAAAGCACACCTTGAAAATGCTCTTTTTCCGGGTGGATCTTCTTTTAAATAGAGTGTTCACGAGGAGAAATGGGCTCGTGCACGCTCTCGCATGCGTTTACCACCCTCCATGGACATGGACAATACACGCACCTTAGTTTAGTTTTGTTTTCAATTTAATGTTTCTTTTAGCAATAACTATGCAATATTTATTGATGTTACTTCTTGCAATAACTCATTGCAATATATACGTATATATATACTTGTTTACCTTGTATATAGCTAGCCCTTAGTTATAGAAAACATTTATTGTGCAGGAATAAGGTCTTGGCTCTGTTATACTGGTAGCCAAGTAATCGACATTTCATCATCAAGATTCACCCTGTGTTTTTTTGTGCAATGACAATAAAGGAAGTCTAAGTCTAATATGCGTTCCCTCTCAGGAGCGTACAGGGTTGTGCATATGCATTTCTTTCTTTTTTTTTAAGTGTAGAGGACGGGTCTTTTCAAACATTTGCGAAAAACCTCCACTCCACCTTTAATCATTATTTCTATGTACATATGTTTAATTAAATCAATAACAATCCTACAAGTGGACTCTAAAAAAAGTAACTTCCATAAAAGGAAGGCCTTCTTTCAATGCAACGTAACAGCTGTTTATTACCATAGGTCATTTCTTTTTTTAACTGATATAAATGTTTACATTTTTAGAGGGTGGGAGGTGTAAAGCAGAGTCTTTTTAAGTGAAACCAAATGTCAAAAAAATGTCCTTTTGGGGAGAGACAGAAAAAAATAAAATATACCATGTGCAAGACAGGAAGTGGGTTACAGTCAAAAGTTCATCCATCAAATATTTGTGGTATTTTAGCCTCACATTCCTGTTTGTCGTAATTTTTTTACAGAGAAGCGTAACTGGAATTAATAGGTTTCAGCAGAGAATGGAAATGATTTGGGTTATTTAAATCATGAAGAATTCACTTGCAAATCCAGTGAGGGTAAATTATAGAGACGGCAGCGAACACTTCAAACTTTTATGGTTCCCTAGAAAGAAAACATTATTGAAAGGAAAGTTCAAGCAAAGAAAAATAGATAAAAACACAATTCACTGCAGGAGGTAAAGATTTTCTATGTATTTATATAACACTCATCCAGAAGGTTTGCAATGTTAACCCTCTTGAAATCTCAAAACCTAAACTTGGACTTGAGCTTAAGGGAGTTTTAGCTCCATTAACCTCTTGATTATTGTGTTATAACAGGTTTTATAGTCTGCAGAGAAATGAAATAAGGTCAAAACTGAATGCAAAATTGCTGTTTTGGTCCAGAAATATGTTTTTATTTTAAGCATTACGACCCAAATCTGACTGGGATTCATTAAAACTCCTGACCATAAACACCGGAGCGCTGCTCCCTGCAGCGCCTCCCGTCCCCTGTTTCACTCTGTGCTCTTTCCTGTCACTCTCCACTGGATGCTGCAAAAATAGGAATAATCCTCAAACTGATGAAGTGAGATATCCTGTTATTTAGAAATATTATCCACTGGGGGGATATTGGCCCCCGTTTAACCCCAGCTGAGGCCTTCCCTTCACATGCATTTTCTTTCAATGAACCAGCTCCTTTGGGTTTTTTAGCATTTGTTGATAAAATTTGTAACTTTGCTTTTGGTTTTTGCGTGTGCTCCAATAGCTGCGTGAAGACTTCGACATGGGGGTGGACGTCCAGCTGGACGAGGAGCACAGCGTGCACGACGTGGCGGCGCTGCTCAAAGAGTTCCTGAGGGACATGCCTGATCCTCTGCTGCCTCGAGAGCTTTACCCCGCCTTTCTCCACGCTAACTGTACGTGAATATGCTATATTCATTACGTTCCAGAAAAAAGATAAAAATGAGTAGAAAGAATACAACAAAATGTAAAGAGTTTATAAATTTGTTGTTAGATGCTATGCTTCGTTAGCTTGTTGTGCAGCAGGTGATCAAAACCAACAAACCTTTTCATCCCTGTGTTTCATATAGTGCTACGAGGAGCAGACCAGCTGCAGTACCTCCAGCACCTCCTTTACCTGCTCCCTCCTTGTAACTGCGACACACTGCTGCGCCTCCTCTCCATGTTGCAGACCGTGCAAAGCTACGCCCAGGACACCATAGGAACCAACGACGAGGAGGTAGGCGGACTTTAATTCAAATTTGCATTAGCGATGCAAGAAGGCTTACAAGATATGTTGTCTACTTGTGTCAAAAATCCAAATGGAATCCAGGCTTACTGAAGTTTATTCAGACAAGCGGTATTCCTAAGGGGTGAAAGATATATATATATTTTTTTCTGTTAGCCTTTTAAATTGTATTCTTTGCAGCAAATGTAACCAAAAAAAAGAAAATGAATCTCATTCTTGCCTTTCCAACCTTTACCTCCATTGCTTCCCTCCATCATCCTCCCTGCAGATACCTGGAAACAAGATGACGGCTGCCAACTTGGCCGTGATCTTTGGGCCAAACCTGCTTCAGAGGGAGACGGGGGGAGACGTGAGTCCTCAAGCGATGGGTATCGAGGACAGCACGGCGATCATCAGTATTACGCTGGTGCTCATACAGAACTACAAGAGGCTGTTCACGGTATATATATCTATAGGCAGCTTTTATCCCCACTGTGTTTGTTTGATTCTTCTTCTGTGTTTGGAGACTAAAAGCTGATGTTTTTTGACCTTGCAGGTGTCTGCAGAGCTTCAGCAGGAGGTGCTGATGAGTCTGATCCAGACTGATCCAGATGTCATCGACTATCTCTTACGTAGGAAACTCAGGTAGGCCTTCTAAGATCCACTATTGGGTTGAGTTTCAATATTTTCTGGTTTGTTTTAATCACCAATCGGTGGCTTCTTCTTTTTTTTTTTTTACAGTGGTAGTCACCTGACAGTGGAGGGCAGCAGTGAGTCAGGGGCCAGGCGGGACACAGGGGCCTCTTTAGACTCTGTGGGAGCCTCGAGTGGAAGTTTGTCTCCTCTTGAGCCCCCATCACCGCTTTTCCCTCCAGACGGGAATGGTGGCGAAGGCAGTTTAACTAGTGAGGTCTTCCTCAACGTCCTCAAACTGAACCAGAACAGAAATCGGCCGGAGGGACGATACGGTACCGATTTCATTAATATTTGAAATGTTTAACAACATGTCTGTTGTCAATTTGTGCAAAACCCCCAGGATAATGATTCTTACTTGGGCTGAAAGAAATGGGAGGATGGATGGATGGAGCATTTATAGAAGGAAGGAAGGAAGGAAGGAAGGAAGGAAGGAAGGAAGGAAGGAAGGAAGGAAGGAAGGAAGGAAGGAAGGAAGGAAGGAAGGAAGGAAGGAAGGAAGGAAGGAAGGAAGGAAGTGGCTTAAATAAATTAGCAAGATGACACGTCAAGCAATTATAGAAGGAAGGAAGGAAGGAAGGAAGGAAGGAAGGAAGGAAGGAAGGAAGGAAGGAAGGAAGGAAGGAAGGAAGGAAGGAAGGAAGGAAGGAAGGAAGGAAGGAAGGAAGGAAGGAAGGAAGGAAGGAAGTGGCTTAAATAAATTAGCAAGATGACACGTCAAGCAATTATAGAAGGAAGGAAGGAAGGAAGGAAGGAAGGAAGGAAGGAAGGAAGGAAGGAAGGAAGGAAGGAAGGAAGGAAGGAAGGAAGGAAGGAAGGAAGGAAGGAAGGAAGGAAGGAAGTGGCTTAAATAAATTAGCAAGATGACACGTCAAGCAATTATAGAAGGAAGGAAGGAAGGAAGGAAGGAAGGAAGGAAGGAAGGAAGGAAGGAAGGAAGGAAGGAAGGAAGGAAGGAAGGAAGGAAGGAAGGAAGGAAGGAAGGAAGGAAGGAAGGAAGGAAGGAAGGAAGGAAGGAAGGAAGGAAGGAAGTGGCTTAAATAAATTAGCGAGAACATGTCAAGCATTTATAAATAAATCAAAACATTTGGTAATTTCCTTATTTTAAAACCTTATTTTAAAATAAGGAAATTACCAAGTTAGTTTTCTGGAAAAATCAAGGCAGGAGTCTTTTCTTTTTAAACCCAGCACCATCTCTGTCCGGTCAGTGTGACAGTGCCACTATGACACAACATACATGGATACCATCTGAGCCTTACTGATGGATAATTAGTAGGTCTTCCTGACCTGACAGCACATCCAGCACCGGTTTAGGATAAACCCAGTAAACATGTCAGGGGTGGATGCTGGGGGAAATCTGGTTGGCAATCTTCTGAGGCAATTGGCATCCATTCAAATGTTCTATTATCTGAGGTTTTCAGGTTTACTTTGTCCTCTGTTGTTTTATATCCATGTAAAAGGAAGCGAATCAGAGGATTATCCCTATCTATGCATCCAATTAACTAGTTTCTACTAAACTCCAGAAGGTATTATTGAGCTTTCATTTATAGATTTTTTTAATGACAATGCATTCGACAAACAAGCAAAGGAGTAAAAGTAATGATCTCTAGTCAGAAGCAATCAAGGAAAAAGTCTCCTCTTTAGCTTAAAAGCCTATTGTTTACTGAATGTATGTGTTTTTGGAGTGTTTAGTGATAAACCTTCACATTTCTTTGTTTACTGGAGTTTAATTAACTTGTGTTACAACATTTCACAGATTTCCTTGCATGAACCATTTATGCTGACTAATGACATCAGATATTTTGTAGTTTGTTTATGTTATTTACACAGAAAAAAGAAGTTTCTCTGAATGCTAGGAGGTATTCTGGAGTAAAGCAATGCTGTGTTTGCTCTGCATCTCATCAGATCCTATCTTGTGTTAAATAAGGCAACAGCACCATCTGGCTTTACTAGTTTGCAAGTCAAAGAGGTGCTTAGTGCTGCAGACCTGAAGCCATTTTTCCACGTAGAGTAAGATTATCTTGCAATAGTTTTCTCACCATTTTTTCCACATTTTGTGGTGACAACCACTAGTTCAATGGGATTTTTGGGGGGGATTCTTTAACTTTTTTTGCACGTCAAAATCGGAAATGTGTGGCATGTACAGGGATTGAACCCATTTTAATCTGAAATGAGACGAATAATTAACCTTCGACTTTGGAAGAGATAAAAACATCAAAGGTGAAGGTGGGAGATTGTGTCCATTATTCAGTTATACACTGGCCATTCCACAAATCTGGCCTTTATGGAGAAACGATGAGACAAAAGCCATTTGAAATCCCATTTTAACTTTCCCATAAACCATGAAAAAGACTGGGCAAATATATGGAAGGAAAGGCTGTAGTCAGATCAGCTTAAAATTCACATTTATGTCCTAGACTTGGAGGATTACATGTGGAGAAAAACATTTTAACGCTGCAAAAGAAATCTAAGGGAAAATCTGTGACAAGAATTTAAAATGTATATTAACTGATAATGCTTAAAGCAGAGTCAGCCAAGATATACAAAACTAATGTTGCAATAAGTCCATAAGTCTTGCATCAAGACCGGCAGCATCAGTTGTCTTATGAAGTAAAAAAGGATGCATAATCTCTCAGATTATTCATCACTTTCATTCAACTGTCTGGAGAAATGTTTTTTTTGTTTTGTTTTTGCAAATTGTTTTTATTGAAGCAAATGGTAAGATAATCACAATAAGTAATACAATTTGCTCCTTTTTTTTGGATAAACATACTTATGCAGGTATAACTTCTAATATATACACATAAGTACAAATGTTGAAATAGTCACACCTACTACATATACAGACAATAAAAACAAAACAAAATAAGAACAATAAAAGAAGAGAACTAAACACCCCATTTGGAGAAATGTTTTAATCCCATCCCTGCTTTGAATTCAGGCGCTGAGGGCCGCTCTACCAAGTCCATCCGCCACATGCGTCAGTTCCACTCCCACCACAACCTGCTCAGCCTATCCCAGCCTTCCAGCTTGTCCAGAATGCACAGCCAGGACGGGGACCCCCAGGACCGCCGGGGCGCGCTGGGCGCTGCCATGAGCTTCGCCCTGGGCAGCAGCAGCAGCAGAGGGAGCTGCTCCAGTCTGAGCGGCTCCACCGAGAACAGCATCTGGGTGAGGCAGATGCAGCCGGATGAAGGGAAGTCATCGCCGGCCGCCAACTTCTGGGACTTTTTCACTGGAAAGGGCTCGAGCTCTGAGACGGTGGTATGACTAATGGCGGGAAAAGATGGAGGAGCAATAAGGGACAACTGGGTTAGAATCCCCCCTGAACCAAATGATCCAAGGGAGCTTGACTGCAATACGCTTCACTTCTTGTTTGAAAAAAGTTGCCTCTTGATTTCCCTCCTTTAAATGTTAAACATTCCAGAGTATCTAAATGGAAAAAGGAAATCTGCAAAACTTTGGGAGGGGAAAAAAAGCGAGATGAGCAATAAATCATGTTTCTGAAGAGTCTTTGGATCAGTGCTGTAAAACACTGATGAGGAGTTTTTAACTCCAGCTAATGACAATAACAGATATGTGAGATTACGGAAATAAAGGCATTGGTGTACAGATGTTGTATATTTTGTAAGTAAACCAAAAGTGAAACGCACATAATCCCAATCTCTGTTTTACATACCAGCCCTGCATGGCCTCCAACACTTCAGCAGAAACCAGATATTTTCCAGATGAAGTACAGAGATACATACAATCCTGATCTTTTTTCCCTTTAATGTCATTTATCAAATCAGAATTCACTTTTCCTGCTTTAGGTCACACAGGAAACCTTCATTATGTATATTTCCTAAAGATCTGAAAAACAAAAGACAGATTCCAGCACTGGGAGTATGATGATCTGGAAGCTTCAGTTAGGTTATTTCACACCAGCTGTGGACATGTTTTAAAATGTAGGGCTATTCCCAATCAAATTAATAATATAAAGCCTCCTCCTGTAGCTGTGATCCCATTAACAATCCAATTGCACAAATTATTATGAAAATACATTTTTAAAATGGAAAATTTGATTTAAAAAAAAAAAGTCTTCCAAGAGGTGATTTATGTTCAAATCAAAATTCTTAGAATTCGCAGAATTGCCATGGAAACACTTCTTTCACATCACATGACTCACCTGATCTGCAGCTTGACCGTCCTCCCTTGTAAATAGACAAAGAAAAGATGTTGGAGGAGGAGGATGTCACTTTCCCATCCGTCTCACCTGAAAAGAGACGAATAATTAACCTTCAACTTTGGAAGAGATGCAAACATCGCAGGTGAAGGTGGGAGATTCTGTCCACTATTCAATTATACACTGGGCATTCCACAAATCTAAGCTTTATGGAGAAAAAAGCCATTTTAAATCCAATTTCAACTTACCCATAAGCCATGGAAAAGACTGGGCTAATATATGGAGGGAAAGGCTGTAGTCAGATCAGCTTAAAATTCACATTTATGTCCCAGATTTGGGGGATTACATGTGGAAAAAAAAAAAAACATTTTAAGGCTGCAAAGGGACATCCAAGGGAAAATCTGTGGCAAGAATTCAAAACATATATCAACTTTTATGGTTAAAGAAACAGGCAGTCAGCAAAGATATACAAAACTAATATTGCAATACTACATAAGTCTTGCATCAAGGCCGGCAGCATCAGCTGATTTAAGAAGTACAAAAGGATGCATAATCTCTCACATTATTGTGGAAAGAAATAAAAATAAAAAAAAATCATCACTTTCATTCAACTGTCTTCTGTTTCATTTGTGCATGTGCGACCAGATATACATCCGGATTTCCAGAAATTATATAATTATATACCTAAAAGTAGTTATTTCTATCTTTGCATTAATAAAAAATGCAATTTAAAACATTTATGACTTTTCTGAGAGAATTTGATGCATTTTCTTCGGTAAACTGCTTCTCTGACCTCGCAATTGGACATGCTTAGAGCAGTCCTGCAAAATATGATTAAACCATCTTTATCTGCATTGTAGTTGTTTCTTCTTTAAATTACGCACTATATACCATAATGTTAACACGAAAGGAAAACATAAAACTCAAAAAGACTAGATTAATGTTTAAATCTAAAGCTGAAAAAGTTAATTCAATTCAATTCAGTTTATTTCTATAGCGCCAATTCACAACACAAGTCATCTCAAGGCACTTTACAGTTCAACCAGATCATACAGTCAGACTGATTCAAAGTTTTCTATCTAAGGAAAACCAGTTGATTTCATTGACTCATTGACTCAAATACAATCCCTCACACTAAGCATGCTTGTAGCGACAGTGGAGAGGAAAAACTCCCTTTTAACAGGAAGTAACCTCCAGCAGAACCAGGCTCAGTGTGAGCGGCCATCTGCTGAGGCCGATTGGGGTTCAAGGAGACGGAAGCAGAGACACAAAAAGCAGCTGTAAAAGGTGGAAGGAAGAAAACGTTAGCCTTCTGAAGTACGATTCCATTTCCAGCACAGATCGGGCAGAGATGAGTGATTAAACAGAAAGGATTTTAAGGCATTTATTTTATCAGGAAATACATTATTGACCTTTCAGAATCAGAATCAGACATAAAAACATAATATAGTATGCTTTCTATTTTTGGGGAGGGAAAAAACTTAATTTCGTTTTTTTTATATATTAAAATCAAGGGTGACCCAGATGTATATCTGGTTGCAGATGCTTGAACCGAGGGTTTGGATCGTGTTTACGGTACGGATCAGGTAGTGACAGGAAGGGCTGCCCGGCTGCTGGCATTTTGTTTTCAGGACTTACCACATGCACAAACATATTCACATGCATTTTCATTGGATTTCTTATTTAACCCTCCAACTGTCTGGTCAACCATTTGGTTGGAGGTGGACCAGGCCTTTAAAACGTAATAAAAATTAAAAAAAATTTTAAATCACACAGATTTCCACACAGTCTGCAATGGATTGGCACTAGCACCCCATTGTGACACTGCTTGGGAAAAAGCGTGTCAGAAACGGATGGAGTGAATGGCGACATAGATTTGCACACAATGGAGATGCAGCTACTATCAGTAACATCCTCGGTAAGGATCTGCATAGAAAGACACAAACAATACAGCTTCTGCAGACGATGTCACCAAAAGCTGACGCTCTTCCCTTCAGTAACGTGAGAAGATGTGCTGCTTCAGGTCCATGATGCATCAGCATTGCCTTTCTGCACATCTGATTAAGAACTGACATCTCACCTTCATGACATTAAATATTGTAAATAAAGTTAGGCCCATATTTTACCACATCTGTTTTCTTTATACAGATTCCATAAAGAATAACTGAGGCAGAAAATAATGAAAAAAAAAAAATTATAATTCTTGTGCATAAAAGGCATGCAGTCTCTGAACTTTTCCTTTATCTGGAAAAGTAGAAATTTCCACACATCTTTACTACTAAGGTGCCAATAAATGTGTTATTTGTCCAAAATAATAATGAATAAATAGCAGCTAAGTGTTATTTATTGTTTGTCATGTCATGCTAAAACTGCCAGTTGGAATATAAAAAGCTGTCCCTGCTCTTCCCAGCTTTTAAGTGTAACTTAATAGTTGCAGTGAGATTCCAGAATATTTCTGACATTTTTATGTTTTGCATTAAACACGGAAGGATGTATAAATAAATATTCAACAATGAAAGAGGCTGCAACATTATTTAGGCTTTAAAAATGCACTAGAACGGGCTTTCAGAAAACTGGGATTGAAGTTATAGTCCTAAACCTCTAGAGGACAGCATTTCTCATTCGTCCTACTGGTCAGGATGTTTTGACAGATCTAGTGTATATAATATAAGAAAAAAAGATGAAGTTCTGAATTCATGTTCTTGTTGTTTTCCCGACCCAAAAGACAGAAACTGTACAGAGTCTCTCCTTCACCTGAACAGGTGATGTCTCATATTTTTCCATCATTGTAGAGGAAATTTCCTTTTTTTTTTTTTGTCAGTTTTTTTTTTGTATACAAATTGCAAAACCTATTAAAGTGTTCCTGAATGCTGTCTCTTTGATTCTTTTTTTTTTTTTTTATTGCACGGCACAAAGAAAAGTGATGAACCCAATGAGTCACATTATTGGGACTTTCTTGGAGTTCTCTTGCTTTCAGCCTGAAGATGAACAAGCCGGGCGCCGTGATGTGAGTCAGAACAAAGATTTCCAAACACACCTTCCTTCCAGAAAAAGAATGATCTCACACACAAGCAGAAAGCTTCTTAAATTGGTCTTTAGCAGCTCTCATTAAATACTGGGTCTTTATTTTATTGTATCAATGCTCCAAGCAAACAGAGCTGATGGCTGAAAGCTCTTATTGTCCAAAATCCTTAAATAAACCCTGCAGAAATGCTCTATTTGACAACTTTTAACCTCAGTGACTGAGAAGTGTTTGTTAAATTTTAAGATTGGCTATTCTGTTTGTTTTATACGTGCAGAATGACTGACCTGTTTTAGTATCAAGAGTCAGGTTAACCTCTCAAAACATCAGACCTCTGCCTATGTATGTCTGCTGAATCAGGTTAGTGTTCATCGAAATGTCCATCATTAAGTATTAGCACCCTTCTTGCTTTTACACTCTGTCTCTCCTTCTTATAGGTTTCTGCTTTGAGGTGAGTTTGTTTTGTTTTCTCTGTGCTCCCATAGGTGTCCGTGCTCGTTCAAGTAATCGAGAATCAATGTTAGCGCATCCGTTTTAGTTTCAAACCTGCTGATTAGAAAACATGTTTGGTCACTTTCAGTATATATTTATCTTCTTTAATTGAACTCACTCTGTTGCAATGCTTTATTTTTTCAATTTCCATTTAAAAAACAAAACAAAAAGGAAAACATTCATGACATACATTCTGATGATGCTATGTAAATAAATCATTTCTGATGGGTTGTGTTCTAAATAACATCAGTTTGGGGTTATCTGATAAGGTAATTCAAGCTGTGGACAAATAATAGAAATCAACAAGGATCCCTAAATAAAGATGAGGGTCAAAAATGTTAAAAATGCTGGTTGTTCAGCTTTTTTTGTATAAAAAGGGTTACTTTGGTCATAAAGAGTTAAGAGGAGCTAAATAGCAAAGATTCTCTTCAACAGGTTTAATGCGAAACTAAATATTCAAAGGGGGGCGTTAACCACTAGGACTTTTCGGTTTATGTGCAGAGAAAGTCGCTTTGTAATGCAACCAGAGCAGAGGCCCGTTTCACAAAGCAGGTTTAACAAACTCAGACTCAAATCCTCAATTCTGAATTGATCTAGCTTTAGGTTGGAAACTTTCGGTTTTTTTAGTTTCATAAAAGCCGCTGTGAGCTAGTATAATCAACTCTATGTAGCTCCACTCAGAGTTGATGTGCACAACAACTATGAAAAGCCATTATCAGTTGAGCCCAAATGCATAGAGTCACCATGACAACAGGCAACATGAAGCACCAATTTCTGGATTTGAATGCAGAAATTAAAAGAAAAATGGGAATGTGTTTAAAGACAGAGCAAAGGGGGAGGGGGATGGCGTAAGAGAAGATTGCTGCTCGAGTTAATGTGCAAGTCTATATGACATGGGCTATGGCAGACCATTTTAACATTTATAAAAAGCACTCTCCTCTGTGTTGTTCCCTTTGCAGATCAACGAATAAGATTATTCCTGGTCAAACTCCCACTCCTAGTCTGAGCTCTAATTAACACATTTTTTAAATTACATTTTTTCAGCAAAAACTGAATTTCAGAAAGTAAAATAACTAAGTATTACACACCTAGATATGTTTACACATTTTAAGTGATCATTTTGACATTTATCAGCTTGACTGAATATGTATTTATATATGAAATACCTTTCTTCCTAATCAAAATAATACAAATGATGAACACTAACAATAGGAATATCTGAAAAGATCTGATCTGAAAAGATAATTTTGACAAGGAAGAAAAATGATTTCTGATATCAAAAATACCTATTCAGACTGACTAATAAATATCAAAGCGGATTACCACAGCATGTTTTAATCATAATAACATTACTAGGACAAACTAGTTCACTGGTTGAATGATAATGCTGATGAAGATTCTCAGTCATCCAGGTCATAGCCATTCCGTAAAAGTTTAAAAAACAATCCACTGGACTTAGTTTCCAAGGTTTGAAGATGTTTCACTTCCCGTCCAGGAAGCTTTCTCAGTTCAAATGTCATTCAAAGGAAGTTGATGAACTTTCTTACATTCTTCAACCATTGCTTAATGAAATGATGACTACAAGAGCGTGGTGAGCTGCAGAATCTGTAATCACACCTGCATGAGGAGCAACTGAAACACCCCCTGAAATAGATCAGAAATACCTTGTTTATCCAGTTTTCCGTAGATATCATCACCCAGTGGCTTATGTGTGCTGGTTCTGAACGTGACGTATTGCAGCACGCCACTTCAGCTACAGAATTACAAAATCATGTGCGATCTCACTTGTCTTCACAATGAAAACAAGTTTTAGTTTACATCATAAATCTACTTCCTACAGACTACAGGTTAACAATGTCTAATCCAAGGAAGGACTTCAGACTGGTCCTTCATTGTATCTGCCTGAAGAAACAATGACTTTTTGTTAGAGAGTCACCATAGAATGCTGCTGCTTTTCTGCAAAGCATGAAGATGTGGAAATAATGTATGTATAAGGCAAACTCATTTAGTATTTATTCACAAGTTTTGCACTATTCTAAAATGACTTAATTTGATCCTTATTTTATTAAAGACTAAATCA